TCATTGAGAAATCTCAGAACTGGTCGAGAGCAATCAATCAATAAACAAAAGTTGTCATGATGAGTGCAATAAATGCAGCGGATATTGCATTTATTCTGTCGAGTTTAAAGTCTGCCTAATTTCGAAGCCCCTCGCCCGTGCAGTGGTTTTAAAATGTTGCAAGCTGAGAGAGAAATGTCTCATGTCATGATATCATAGACTATTGTTTAGTAAAACGATGGATAGCGTTGAAGAAACGCTCTCATTGGCTGCTAAAACTCGTAATATCCTCACACTATTCACTCCCGAACAAGGTGCGCGGGATTTGCGCCGGAAAATATTGTAATTCTTGCAGGAAAAAATGAGTCAATATCATCTTTTTGTGCTATGTTATCTTACTGTCTTAGTTTATACTAAAACAAATTCTTTGCAGCTCGATAAATATTCATCAGTAACCACTTCTACATGAATTTTCAAAACAAACTTTATTTGCATAGCGAACAATAGTGTCGTCAGCACGCTCTCTGTGCTTCGCTCTCTCTTAAATTTGTTACTATGTGGCAGTCGTTCCAACGATAAATATTTCGTCTTACCACAACCCTCTTAGCTAAGATCACTTTTTTTTTATTTGGATTTCTCATGTTTATTTCCTAATTATCGAAGACTATTAGCCAAGCATTACCCCGCAACAACAGGTCGAGAAGTCTGACCACGCTCCGGCCGTCTTTGTCCACGAAGACTGAACATAATGTACAAGATATTTTGAGGGCTTCGTCGTAGATTCCAGTGTTCCTGAACCCCGTCAACTGGCCCTAACAAGACAAACAACAGATTCAAGCGTTTGGAGGTGCGGATGACGAGGAGATCCTCGCGAAGGGCAACACGAAAACTACTAAGAAATACTGTTACAGGAAGGAAAATGTTGGCCACTGTCAAATTAACTCGTTGTTGATGTATTATATTATATGACGTTTTATTTTTCGCTTTTTACCCCAAAGGGTCCTGAAAGAATTTTGATGGTTCTCATTAAATGGTTTAAGCCATGCTAATTGAATAATTGGAACACTTACAGGATACCGCCTGAACGACTAATGACCTATAACCATAATTTGTTTAACTTAAGTTTTATTCCTTAATTGATACTAGGTAATCTTCACCCCCCCCCCCCCCCCCCC